CACACACACACACACACACACACACACACACACACACACAACCAAAACCAAAACCAAAACCAAAACCAAAACCAAAACCAAAACCAAAACCAAAAAAAACCAAAGAGGTGGGAGTGGTGGCACACACCTATGACCTCAGCACTTGGGAGGCAGACGCAGGTAGATCTCTGAGTTAGAGGCCAGCCTGGACAACAGAGAAAGTTCCAGCATAGCCAAGACTACACAGAGAAATTCTGTCTTGAAAAACTGAAAGGGGAAAAAAAGAAAAGAAAAAAAGAGAAAATAGCAAAAATTAGAAACACCTATACACAAAGGTATATGCCTATAGCCTCAACTACTTGAAAAAAATCAAAAATGGAAGATCACTTATACTAAAGAGCTCAAGCCTAGCCTGGGCAAGAGACTGAATCATCATCTAAACAACTAACCAACAACAAAAAACAAACCAGGGAGAAATGAACTAGATGGAACTAGAACAATGATTGTGAACTGTCATGTGGCTACTGGGAATTGAATCCTGGTTCTTCTGGAAGAGCAGCCTTTTAAATGTTGAGCCATCTCTACAGCTCCATGAAAAGTGGTTTTTAACAAACTATAAAAACAATTGGGCCAGGCAGTGGTGGCGCACACCTTTAATCCCAGCACTTGGGAGGCAGAGCCAGGCGGATCACTGTTAGTTCAAGGCCAGTCTGGTCTATAGAGCGAGCTCCAGGACAGGCTCCAAAACTACACAGAGAAACCCTGTCGGGGGACCACGACAATTGGTTCTCAACACAGAATTTAAAAAAAAAAATACTGACCCTCTTTATCATCATTTCACATAAAAAAAAAAAATTGGGAGGAAAAGGGATGCTGAGTAAGCAAGGGAAGCTGAATTAAATTCCAGAACGCATGTAAAAGCCTGGCATGGTGATGTGTTCCTATACTGAGTACAAAAGAGGCAGGGGTAGGTGAATCCCTGAAGCTTATTAGCTCTGCAATCTGGTCAAGACTTATTTTAGTAAAAAATCATCTAGTTTATGTGTGTGAGTGAGTGCTCTGCCCACATGCGTTGTGTGTGCACATGACGCAGTGCCCCCGAGAGGCCAGGAGGGGTGCTCTGTCCTCCAGAACTTAAGCGTCAACTTTCCAATCTCTATTTTAACTTTTTACATTTATGTGGGTGGGGAGGGGGTATGTGTGTGTTAGTGCAGCTGTTCAAGGACACCAGAGGTGTGAGCAAGAGTTATAGTCAGTTGGTCTTCTGCAAGGTCTGTACACACGTCAACCACTGTTAACTTTTCTCCACTCGTTCTACCTTTAAACAGACAAATATTTTTTGGGCCAGTCAAAAAAAAAACACTGACCATAAAGAAAAGATAGATATCTATGATCTTAAAGTTGAAATAAAATTTTCACATTTACTTGTTTTGGGTGTGTATATAGTGAATACATGTCATAGCATGTTTGTGGAGGGTAGAAAGCGACCCTTCCACCATGTGGGTTCCAGGATCACACTCAAGTTGTCAAGCTAGACAGCAAGCTCTTTTACCAATGCATGAACATAAAGAGAACTTTCTGAGTTGACAGAAATTTGACAGCTTCTTTGTACAAGGCATGTATAATTATAAAAATTTCGAACTGAGTATGTAAAATCTGTGTAATTTACTGTACAAAGAAAGTAGATTAAATTATTGTACAAAGTCCTTATAATGAATGAGTACAGCTATATTTATTTGTGAAAAAAACTACACACATATAAGATAATCTACTTGAAATAAATGGAATAACTGTTTAAGAATATAAACATTTTCCAGGTTTTAATTTTTTCAAGATTTCACTTATTATTTTATGTCTATGGCTGTTTGTCTCCACGGACATCTGTCCAGCAAATGCATACCTGGTGCCTGTGGAAACAAGAAAAGGGTGTTGGATCCCCTGGAACTTGAATTACAGATGGTTGTGGGTGCTGGGAATGGAACACAAGTCCTTGGGAAGAGCAGGCAGTGCTTTTAACTGCTAAGCAATTTCTCCAACCCCTTTAGCTTTTTATTGAACTTATAATCTAAAAGTATTAACTAATTCAAGGAAGCCAAACCTTGGGAAGGAAGAACCTGACATTTAATGTGTGAGGTCATGGAGAGGTTTTCCCTTGAGCTTGAGCCTTCTCTATCTACCATCACAGTCATGAAAAACTACAATGTTGTCACTGTCTCTATATAAAGTATATTTATTACACTTTACATAGTAGTAAGATTTATAGTGGAAAATTATGTTCTTTATATGTATCTGTACATGTGTGCACATATACAGGCCAGAAGGCAAGGTCATGTGTCTTAATGGCTATGCACCTAATCTTTCAAAAATAAATTTTAATGTTTTATTACATTTATTTATTTATTAGGTGTGTGTGAGGCATGCCATGGTGTTTGTGTTGAGGTCAGAGGACAACTTGCAGGAGTTAATCCTCTCATTCCATTATGTGGGTACTAGTAATAGAACTCAGATTGTCAGGCTTGAAGGTAAAATTATCTTTCCCACTGGGCTATAAAGCTGGCCCACCATACTTTTTTTGAGACACAGTCTCTCACTGAACTTGGAGCCTTTCTGATTCTGTGGACCAGGTTGGCCTCGAACTCAGAGATTCGCTTGTCTCTGTCTCCTGAGTGCTGGGATTAAAGGAGTGTGCCAGCATCACTCAGCCAAATTCAGGTTCTTATGCTTGTGTTGCAAATTCTTTATTAACTGAGTCTTTTTCCTAGACCTATAAACACTGTGTTGTTGTTTTTTTTATTTTTCTTTTGTTGTTGTTGTTTGAGACAGGGTTCCTCTGTGTAGCTTTGGCACCTGTCCTGGAACTCACTTGGTAGCCCAGGCTGGCCTTGAACTCACAGAGATCTGCTTGCTTCTGCCTCCCAAGTGCTGGGATTAAAGGTGTACCCCACTACCACCCGGCAACACTGTGTTCTTGATTGTGTATCATATAGTTTCATGGCCATATAGCATTGTGAAGTTGATAAACCAGACAACTCTGAAACTCTTATTTTGGTGTATGGTGTTGGAGATAAAATTTAAGTGTTTGGAATAAATGACTTAAGTACTCTACTACTTAGGTGAATTGTCAATCCTTGGGGTTTTATTTGTTTTTGTTTTTCAGACAGGGTCTCAACTATGCAGCTCACACTGGCCTTGGACTCAAGATCCTTCTCTATCAATATTTTCAGTGCTAAAATTACAGGCATATGCCACTATACTTGGCTCACGCTATATATTCTAGTAACCAAACCATGACATCTTAATGCACTTTCCTTTAAATTGAGAATCTTTTATCATGCTTGACTCTACAGGGTCTCACTGTGTAGTCGTGGCTGGGCTAGAACTTTGTATATTTATCACACTTGTTGTAAACTCACAGAGATCCACCTGCTGGAATTAAAGGCATGCACTACAACTGGCTACTTTCAAAATCTTTTACAATTGTATATATTTTTTAACAGTGGGGAATCTTCAGAGGAAGAGTAAGAATATCAAGGCAAGCATGCTTATGACTTAGGCCAGTATCCAAAGAAACAGAAAAGGAAAATGGAAATATTACACTTTTTTAGTTAGAACTCAAAAGAAGTGGAAAGGCTTAGCAGTGAAGATCTGCAAGCATGGCCGAAACAGGGTTTTAAATGTCCCATAATATGTTTGTAATAGAAAAATAATCCATGCTGTTTTTTGGGAAATGGAAATGACATTTAGAGCATATTAATACAATCAACTGCAATTTTCTAATTTTCAAACACTTCCCTCTTACTGGCTACCCTAACCATATAGCTTTCTCTTTTTGTTAATTCTTATCTTTCTTGATCTTTTTTTTTGGGGGGGGGGGAGGTGGTTTCGAGACAGTGTTTCTCCATGTGTAGACTTGGCCATCCTAGAATCCAAGATATCTGCCTCCTGTGCTTCCCAGTGCTGGGATTAATGGTGTGTGCCACATCACCAGGCATTTCTTTCATTTCTCTTTTTGAGACAGGGTCTCATTATGTAACTTTGGCTGGCTTGGAATTCTTTATGTAGACCAGGCTTGCCTTGAACCCAGAGATGCACCTGCCTCTGCCTCGTGGGTATTGAGATTAAGTTTGTGTTAACACACTTGGAATGTTAATTTTATGTGGCAATACACTGATTCTCTTCTCCTGTTCCTAAAACCTAACAGCTTTAAATGCTCAAACTCTGTCACAAAACTTTTTTTTTTTTTGAGACAGGGTTTCTCTGTGTAGCTTTGGTGTCTGTCTTGGATCTCACTCTGTAGACCAGGCACAAAAACTTCTTTTGTATCACTAATCAAAACTAATTTGAGGGGCTCAGAGGCTAAGAGCACTGGCTGCTCTTCCAAAGGTCCTGAGTTCAGTTCTCAGCATCCATATGTGGCTCACAACCATCTATAATGGGATCTGGTGCCCTCTTCTGGCGTGCTGGCATATACACAGACAGCACACTGCATACATAATAAATAAATAAATAAATATAAAAAAAAAGGGGGGGAGGCTGGAGAGATAGATGGCTCAGCGGTTAAGAGCACTGACTACTCTTCCAGAGGACCTGAGTTCAATTCCCAGCAACCACATGGTGGCTCACAACCATCTGTAATGAGATCTGGTGCCCTCTTCTGGCCTGCAAGGACACATGCATGCAGACCACTGTATACATAATAAATAAATAAAAAAAAGAATTTGAAGCCAAGCATGGTGGCATACTCCTTTAGTTCCAGTCTTCAGCAAGCAGCGGCAGGTGGACCTCAGTGAGTTATAGCTCAGCCTGGTCTACAGAGTAAGATGCTGTTTCAAACAAACAAACAAACCAACAAAAATTACTATGTGAATATATATCTCAAAGACATTACTAAGAGTGCTTTCTTCTAACAGGAAAATTAAATGCTTAATGTTTTGTAAAATAAATCCCAAACACAGAAACAACGAAGTTATTATATTTGAGTTCATATACCAACATAACAAAGATAGTGCTTTTTGGACAGGAATACATACCAGTGATGCTGTTCTTATAGTTGCAAAGTGTTCTCTATTACGATAATGTGATTTGTGACGAGACACTTGAGGTGGAGACTGTGGATCTGATGCTCTTGTTCTAGGATCTCCTTCTTCTCTGTAATTCTCCTCCTCCTTAAAAGAGAAAGAGAGACAGAAACTATTTTGTAAGGTGAACCATTTTTTGAGGTTTCAAGGAAAAGAATAAAGGCAATTTTAATCAATAATCTTAAAGAAACACAATTTTACAAAGCAGAAATAGGAAGGAACTTGAAATATTATTGTTGTTTTCAACACAAGTAGAGTTAGCTGAAATTATTTCCAGAGTGCGTGAAAAAATACAGATTCAACATATGCAATATACAGTTTTATATTCTATATATTATATGCAAACCAAAAAGCTTGAGCTGGAGAGATTGCTCAGTGGTAAATAGCATGTACTTCCCGCACAGAACCCAAGTTTCATCCCAGCACACACATCAGGCTGTTTACAAGCACCTCTGACTCCAGCTTCAGCGGACCTGACACCTCTGGCTTCCAGGGTCAACTGCACTCATTTGCATGTAACCCCCACATACACAAATATTTTAAAATAAAACCGAAAAACTTTAATGTAAATTAAAAAAACAAAATAATACAACATGTAATGAATGCTTCAAATAATTAATCTTGAGTTTTATAAGCAATGCAGTACAACACCATTTTGTTGTGTTTTCTTTGGTTATAGATAGGTGAAACTATGATAAACTTAAGATTATAATAATATTTCTGCCATTTGTCTAAAATAAACAATAGAGGGCTGGGCGGTGGTGGCGCCCACCTTTAATCTCAGCACTAGGGAGGCAGAGGTAGGAGAATGTCTATGAGTTCAAGACCAGCCTGGTCTATAGAGCTAGTTCTAGGAGAGCAAGGCTACACAAAGAAACCCTGTCATGACAAACCAAAAATAAATAGGTAGACAGACAGAGTAAACACTAGAAAAGATGTAAAAATTAAGGAAAATCGCCAGGCGGTGGTGGCACACGCCTTTAATCCCAGCACTTGGGAGGCAGAGGCAGGCGGATCTTTTTGAGTTTGAGGCCAGCCTGGGCTATAGAGTGAGTTCCAGGACAGGCTCCAAAGCTACACAGAGAAACCCTGTCTGAAGAAAAAAAAAAAAAAAAGAAACCCACTCTTGCTGTTACTGGGTGTGGGGGCTGCTGCCTGTGGCTGAGACAACACTGCCATGAATGTAAACCCAACCTTGTCTAGACTACGAACAGGTCTCAAGAGAAAATAAAAATTATGTAGAATTTTTATAATAACAATGATGTTATAATTTAACCATCATTCATAATAGGTGCTATGTATATGTTAAGATATATTAAGGCTTGGCATATACAGCACACAGAGGCAGAGGCAGCCGGATCTCTGTGAGTTCAAGGCCAGCCTGGCCTACAGGGTGAGTTCCAGGAAAGGCACAAAGCTACACAGAGAAATCTGGTCTCGAGAAGAAAAACAACAACAACAACAAAAACAAAACAAAACAAAACAAAAACAACAATGTGTTTCAAAACAGTAATTTCCCATATTCAGGTGATAGATTAATACTTTAAACCATTGCTATGGAAAACAAAAATGATCTAAAGTTTGTTTTTTGGGCATAGGATGTCCTCTATGTAACCCTGACATCCAGAGATTTTGTATGCACATGCACACACACACACATCTGTACATTTTGAATGCAGATGTCCATGGAGTCCAGAAGAGGGTATTATGTCCTTTGGACCTGGAATTATACACAGCTATGACACAAATGCTTGTTGTGGATGTTGAGAAACAAACTCAGGTCCTCTGGAACAGCAACAAACGATCTAAACCACTGAACCAGCTCTCCAGCACAAACTCTTTTTTGCTTTTTTCCTTTTTCTAGGGGTAGTGGTGGTGGTGGCACACAGGGTCATATGCAGCCCAGGTTGGCCTCAACTTTACTATGTAGCTGAGGTAGCCCTTGAATTCCTGATCCTTCCAAGTACGGGATTCAGGTGTGTGCCACCACACCCAGATTCCAAACTTCTTAAACTTCAAGGAAAATCTCTTGAATTAATCAGTCGAAGAAAATGATGGGTCAAAGTTGAGGGTTTGGCTCCCACCCCCCATAGAAATGCAAATACTCACAGGTTTTAAGTGGATGACAGAACTGTTAGACATTACTGTATGGTCTCCCTCCATCATGTCTAGCTCACTCTTGTCATCCGAGGCATCTGGAAGACTGTTAACACTGCTGCTTTGACTGCTGGCACTGATAGACATACTGGGAATAGACTGATTACTTCCAACACTATTCACTGTTCCTGTCCGGCCAACACCATGATCTTGCTCCTAAAGGAAAAGAGCATTAAACTAAAATATCTAAATCTTTTTTTCAATTATCGATTAAAGGAGAAGAGAAGCCTGATGAACACAAAGAGGTTTCTTTAGTAAAAGACTTCTCATACTCAATAAAAGACTTCTTGTATCCTTTACTACACAACATAAAACAGTTGGATAGAAAGTATATAATAACAAGATTTTTTTTTTGGAGCGAGGACCAAACCCAGGGCACAAGCACTCTACCACTGAGCTAAATCCCAAACCCCTATAAAAATAAGATTAAAGGATTTCAGAGAATCAATGATAATAGCACAGTATATTGGAACCATTGATATTAAAAGTATGTTTAGCTGGACAATTAGTATAAGAAATCAATAAATCAAACTAAAAATTTGTGTTATTTTGGGGAATTATACCTCTTCTTCTTCCTGTGCTTCTACCGCTGGTCCATTATGTGCCTCCTGGAAAAGGAGTTTCTTCATCTTTCTATACTGCAGATTGTCCAGCTCTCTTACTGCATCCTTTGTCCTTTGAATAAGATCTATTAACACTGTGTCCGGGCGCTCTCGAAGAACAAACATGTGCTGGAAGGGAAAAAAATAAAAATAGATTACTTTTTTCCTAATTAGTTCAAATATATTCCTTTCTCATAATCTACAGTTATTACACTATGATATACAATTCATACAATCTATAGCTATCTGATTCTTTTACATCAAAGACTTTTGATACTTAGGAAGAAGTAATTTCTACATTCAATTTGTGCTTACATATTAAATACTCTTGAATAATTCCTCACCATGATATATTTAGTTGGCCAATGAAAATACAGTTGAGAGCTGGGTGGTGGTGGCACACGCCTTTAATCCCAGCACTCGGGAGGCAGAGACAGGAGGATCTCTGTGAGTTCAAGGCCTGCCTGGTCTACAGAGTGAGTGCCAGGACAGGCTCCAAGGCTACACAGAGGAAACCCTATCTCAGAGGGAAAAAAAAAATAGTTGAAATTATCAAAGCATATAAAATCTAAGAAAATTCACTACTGATTATAAGCTATGCTTGCTTTAAGTAACCGAAAGTGAATGAAGTAACCAGAATTTAAGACACTATGGATTTCTTTTTCTTGAGGCAGGATTTCACTGTGACAGTCACAGTTTTGCTTTGAACTAGTGATCCTCCTAGTGCTGAAATACAGGCAAAAACAGCCATGACCAGACTATTATAATATGTTGCTAGTGTGAGTGTTCAAATGGTCAGGCTTCCATTTCTGAGACTATAGATGAGCTTATTCCCTGGAACTACAAAAGCAGTATGGAAAACTTTTACTGTTTTTTTATATAACATGATAGCAAATAATATTATCCTATGTATGTATATTTGTTGTAGTTTAATTTAGCTGACATTTGTGAGTGAAAAAAAATTTACCTGTTTTGAAATTCTAAAACATTAATACAAAAATAGTTCATATAAATCTTGTGGAAACAACTTCTAGCTAGAGTCAAATTCTCATTACTGCCTAGTCAAGATGATTTATTTATTTATTCGTTTATTTATTTATTTATGGTTCTGAGACAGGATTTCTCTGTGTAGCCCTGGCTGTCCTGGAACTCACTCTGTAGACCAGAGTGGCCTCAAACTCAGAGATCCATCTGCATCTGCCTACTGAGTGCTGGGATTAAAGGCATGCACCACCACTGCCTGGTGATGTTTTGTATTTTTATTTTATTTGTATGAGTATTTTGTCTAAGTATGTTTTGTGCATGTGCAGTACCCTCCAAGGCCAGAAGAGAGCATCATATGCTCGAGGACTGAGAGTGCAAACAGTTGTGGGTGCCGGCAATCAACCCTGGGTCCTCTACAAGAGCAACCAATGCTCTTAACCACTGAGCCACCTCTTCAGATCTAATCAAGATATTTTAAGAGAGCTGTGGATGTAGTTCAGTTGGTAGTATTTGCCTAAGATTCACGAAGTCTTGAATTAAATCCCAGTACCATATACACAACCATGGAGAACACAGTACTTGGGATGTAAGGCAGGAGGATCAGTACTTTTGAGATCATTCTCAATTACACAGCAAAAGTACAAGGCCAGTCTAGGATACATGAGATCCCTTCTCAAAAAAGATGCTTTAAGAACCACATTAAGACAAATATGAAGATGTATACTTTTAACCACTGCACTAGGGAGGCAGACAGAAGGATCTTTAAGAGTTCAAGGCTAGCCTGGTCTATATATTGAGTTCCAGGCCAATCAAGGCATAATGAGATCTTGAGTCAAAAAAAAAAAAAAAAAAAGGGCAAGGGGCTGGAGAGATGGCTTAGAGGTTAAGAGCACTGGCTGCTCTTCCGGAGGTCCTGGGTTTAATTCCCAGCAACCACATGGTGGCTAACAACCATCTATAATGAGATCTGATGCCCTCTTCTGGTATACAGGCAAACATGCAGGCAGAACACTGTATACATAATAAAATAAGTGTTAAGAAAAATAAAATAAAAAACCAACCTTCCTGCAAAAAAAAGGGGCAAAACCCACTAAAATCAGTAAAACTATTATACTATTATCAGTATTAATTAAATGGTCAACACTCAAAACTTTTTTGAGAAAGGCCAGTTAAATTGAAGAGAATCTATATTTTAAAATATTGTAAATGAAATTTTTTGTGAGAAAGGAGTTGCATGAGCATGTGCATTCCTATCTATGCAGATGTCAGAAGACAACCTGTGAGAGTCAATTCTCTCCTTCTATAATATGGGTTCCAGAGATAGAACCCAGGTCTTAAGTCTTAAGTGCCTTTATCCACTAGGTCATCTTGGCAATCTAAAGCTACACACTTTTTATACTATTTCATTGCTAAATGAGTCAAGAGTTCAGATGCCAGCATTCACAACGAGGTGAAGTGTCTACAAATGGAGGGGGGACCAGAAGGGCTTGTGATCTTCCAGCCTAGCTGAGATTCTGCCTCAGAAGAACAGTCTTCTCTCTCTCTCTCCCTCCTTCTCCCTCTCGTACACATACACTCTTTAAAAATCTTTAAAACAAAATACAGTATCTAAGGTAAGTCACCAGGGCCAGGGGTGTGGCTCAATTGGGAAAATGCCTGCCTACTATTTTCAAAGTCCTGAGTCCAATACTCAGAATCAAGAAATAATGATATAAACATACTAATATTTTAGCTGAGTGGGTGGTTCATGCCAGCACTTAAGGAAGCAGAGGCAGGGGAATCTCTGTGAATTCAAGGCCTGGTTTATATAGTAATTTCCAGAACAGTCATAGCTACAGAGTTGAGACACTATCTCAAAAAAACAACAATTAGTATTTCAATAGGCTGGGGGAAATAGCTAACTGATAACAGTACATGCTTAATATGCAGTCCTATTTGAGTGCCAGCAGTGAAAAAAAAAAAAAACCCAAGACAACAACAACTTTTAAATTATTATTTTAGAACTACAAAGCCTTTATTACATGTGTTTATTATTTATGAAGGGGAAAACACAACACAGACATGTATGCTGAAATTAGTTCTCTCCTCTCACCATGTAGATTTCGGGGATTCAATGAAGGTTGTTAGCTTTGGAAACAAGTGCCCTTACTGAGCTATGTCACTGGCCCCAAATATAGTATTTTAGTAAAAACCAACATAGTTAATCCTGACTGAGTAAAAAAAGCGTTTTAAAATCATTTCTTAAGGGTTAAAACAAAGTTTTACAGACTGACCTTTAAAAGTTCCTCTGAAGTAGGGCGATCTTGAGGGATTTTCTGGAGGCAAGAATCTACAAAGTTGCGAAAATAATCAGACCTATTGTAAAGAAAGTATCAAGTGAACATATTGCTATTTCCTTTAAAAACACATTCAAAAAGGCATAAGCCTACTCACAGGAGGAAGAATGGAAAAGAAATGATAATATAATTTCATCTATTCAAAGATATCAAACGCAACCAATGACTCAACATTTTTCAAAAATAGATTTGCACAGATCATTTAAAAATCTTAGGCTAGGGGTATAGTGCCACGATAGAGTATAAGTATATACTTGGCTAGAAAAAAAAATCTTGTTCCCACATATTTACCTATCAGAAACAATTCGATATTTAGTCAAAAGGAAGAAAGGCCATCCAGAGTTTTTCCCCATTCAAATACGCTTTCCCACATTCCTTCCCCTTTCAGTATTGCCTTATTTGTGCTTTGGACTGTTTTCTATACAAGCTGTTTTAGAACATAACTCTTACTCCCTCTGGAAAAGAGCATTTGTTTGTTCTGTTTTTCAAGACAGGCCTTCTCTGCGTAGTCATTCTGCAGACCAGGGAAGAAGAGCATTTCTAAACACCTGAGCAGTTGTTGTCCCTGACCAAAAGGATAAGATTTCCATTACATCTAGAAAACCAATAAAGGTATATTTTAAAAATATTAAAAGCCTGTTATGTGTCATGGGAGCTCAGTGGATCACTCAATAAATAATTACTCCATCAATGTTTATCTCTAATATTAAAAGAGTAACATTTTTTTGTTGTTGTTGTTTATTTTTTGAGATAGAGTTTCACACTATAGCCCAGGCTGGCTTTGAATTTGAAGCAATCCTCCTGCCTCATCCTCCTAAAGGCTAAGATCATAGAAAATGAGACTTGTTTTTCATTGCACAAGTGGTCATAAGTAAGAGTTTACCATACGTCTCAGAAGAGACCTCAGGCATTGGACTTTTATATAATGTTGGAACTGTTAGAGACTATGGGAACTTTCAGAGATGAAATAATGTATTTTGTATTATGAAATGAACATGCAAGTTTAGGGGAAAGAAGTGTAATGCTGACAAGGTGTGGAATAGTAGTCGTTAATCCTACCAACTGGAGAGAATTTAGAATCACCATGGGAACACACCTCTGAGGGGGTCTATGAGGGTGCTTCCAGAAAGGTTCAACTGCAGAAGACTCACTCTGAATGCAGGTGGCACCATGCCATGGGATGGAGCTCCAGACTGAATAAATGCATCAAAGCAAGTAGAGCTCCATTATCCATCTCTTTCTAATTGCTCACTGAGGACACAATGTATCAAGCTCCTACCACTAATGCCTTCCCTTCACAATGGACTATATCCTCTAACTGTGATCCCAAATAAATTCTTCCTTCTTTAAGTTGCCTTGTCAGGTAAATTATTAAAGAAATGAGAAAAGTAACTAATATACATTTTTTTTCAACTCATAACAATTCTAGTCTCAACTTGTTAATAATCTCTTCTCCACATACTACTTTACATGAAGTTTTATCAAATTAAAGACTACACACCAGAAGAAAAATCAGAGCAATGAGAACAACATAGTTAGAACATTTCCAAGGTTTTAAATAACCTAACAATTTTGAAAGAATCAAACCATTTTACCTATGTCTTATACAATATAAATGATAATCTATTCTTCATACAATTATCACAACAGGTTATAGCTGTGCATTTTTAAAAATGCTATTATTACGGTTATCTGTGCTCCTAAAATTTAATAGAAAAGTAAACCTACTTTCTTTTCAGTAAGTATATTTACTTACATAAAATTAAGTCATCTTGATAATGATTTATATTTTATCAATATTTACAAAATTTTCAAAATGTTAATCAATATCTTGTGGGAATACTCACCATTCATTAGACTGTAGTGTAGGGGATTCATTTTGGGCTATGTGATATAAGGCACTCATTGCATTCATATTAAATAAAGGAGGCTTCCTCTCCGCTATAAAAGAGAGGAAACCTTTCTGTTAAAATGTGAATATATAAAAATACTAAAATGTTAATCAAGTTTTTAAAGAAGATATTTTCAAAATAACTTTAAGCTTAATAAAAAATTGTTGTAGACAGAAAAACCTTTTTGTTTTGTTTTTTTGAGACAGGGTTTCTGTGTAACCCCAGCTGTCCTGGAACTTGCTTTGTAGATCAAGTCGGCCTTGAACTCACAGGGATGCGCCGGCCTCTGCTCCCCGAGTGTTGGGATTATAGGTGTGTACTATGACACCTGGCTACAAAGAACCCTTTAAAAATATTTATAGATTCATTTTATGTATGTGAGTGGCCTGTTTTCACGTACACTGTAAGTGAGAATTAGACCCCATTACAGACGGTTGTGAGCCACCGTGTGGTTGAACTCAGGACCTCAGTTAGCTCCCTTACCAGCTGTGCCATTTTTTTCTGCCCCTACAAAGAGCTTTTTTTTTTTTTTTTTTTTTGAGACAGGGTTTCTCTGTCAAACAGTTCTGGCTGCCCTGGAACCCACAGAGATCCTTCTGCCTCTGCCTCCCGAGTGCTGGAATTAAAGGTGTGCGCCATCACTGCCTGGCAACAAAGAACTTTTTAATGTAACTCAGTTGAGATAAACTACTTGTTCTGATGGCCCACCATCCCTAAACATGTCAATATACAAGAACATTTTCATAAAAGCCATACGATATGCATTAAATTGTGCCACCTAATGGTGTTAAAGTCACCTGGTACCAAACCCCACTGAAGTTTGGTTCCAAAGCCTCAATCATGCTATAGGTAGTTTTAATCACTTGCGCCTATCAAAGAATCAGGCCACTGTACTGAGTCCTCACATTCAAACAGAAAACTGTTCATATTTCCCTATTATTTGGGGAGGGGGGTGTGCATGGTTATGCATGCCTTTACATATGGATCCGTGCCTTCCTCTATTGCCCTAACACAGGGGTCTTTCCCCCCCCCCTTGGTTTTTCAAGAAAGGTTTGTTGTGTAGTCTTGGATGTCCTGGAACTAGCTCTGTAGACCAGGCTGGCCTCAAACTCAAGAGATCCACCTGCCTCGCTGGGATTAAAAATGTACACCACTACCACCTGGCAACACGGGTATTTCCTGAACTTAGGAAGCTGAAGGTAGTAGGTGAATCACCATTGTTTGGAGCCAAGCTGGCCACACTCCTTCCCTTTAAGTATTATCTTATTTGTACTTTGGACTGTTTTCTATAGAAATTGTTTTAGAACATAACTCTTACTCCCTCTGGAGAAGAGCATTTGTTTGTCTGGTTAGTTTGGTTGGCTAGCAAGTTCTAGGTACTTGCCTGTCACTCACACTTAGTGCTGGGATTATAGTCACCCCTAGATTTTGACATGATATTGACATGAGTGCTAAGGATTTGCACTCAGGCCATGTTTACAAAGCAAGTGCTCTTATCCACAGAGCCATCTCCCCAGGCCCTCTATTTTCTTTTATTTTTTATTGCTACATTTAAATTACCTGTTTGTGTCTGTATAGGGGTATGCATACAAGTGGAGATATCCATATAAATCAGAAGAGGGTATCAGATCCTCTAGAGTAGTATAAGCTCTTAACTGCTAAGGCATCTGTCTAGTCCCCTACATAACTTTTTAATAATCAATATTAATCTTTACTTCTCATTCACAGTCCCTACCTTTGATTTTACTTTTTAGACAAGGTCTCACGTAGTAGCCTAGGCTATCCTGGAACTCACCATGTGGCCAGCTTGGCTCCAAACAATGGTGATTCACCTATCTTCAGCTTCCTAAGCTTTAGGATATAAATGTGATCTATCATACCTGGTTTCTCCCATTCCTAATATCAGATATTTGTATCTTCTTTTTCTAAGCACAATGAAAAAAGGTTTATCAATTTTAATGTTCTTCATAAAGAATTAGATTTTAGTTTCAATGATGCTTTCTAGTTTTCAATTTTCTGTTTAAGTTTTATTTTGATCTTTATTATTCTGTCTTGTTTATCCTGAGTTCAGATTATTCTCTTTTTTCTGCTTCCTAAAATGTGAAATTGGGGGAGACAGCTCTGTTGTTGGTTGTTTTTTTTTTTTTTTACTCTTCTCTTTTGGGGGGCCCGCCACCCAGCTCCCAAATAAATCATACACAGAGGCTTATTCTTAATTATAAATGCCTGGCCTTTGTTTGGCTTCTTTCTTGCCAGTTTTCCTTAACTTATCCTGTCCACCTTTTGCCTCTGGGCTTTCCCCATTTTCTTACTTCTGTAAATCTTACTCTTACTCCGTGGCTTGCTGTGTAGCTGGGTGGCTGGCCCCTGGAGGCCTCCTCCTTCCCTGGCTTCTAGTTCCTTTTTTCCCTCTCAGTTTTCTCCTTCTATACATACTCTCTGCCTGTCAGCCCCACCTATCCTTTCTCCTACCTTGCTACTGGCCAGTTCTTTATTAGCCCATCAGGTGTTTTACACAGGCACAGTAACACAGCTTCACAGAGTTAAACAAATACAACATAAACAAAAGTAACACTCCTTAAAGTAATATTCTACTACATGGCTCAGCGGATGAAAGCACTTGCTACCATGCCTATAACCTAAGTTCAATCCCCAAAACCCACATGATGGAAGGAGATAAAAGACTCCCCTCAGCTGTACTTTGATTCCCCTGCATATACACAAGTGTAGACAGCCAATGACACCAGAAGAGGGTGTCAGATCCCCTGGTGCTGGAGTTACAGGCAATTGTGAGACACCTGATGTCAATGCTGGGTGGCTCTTAACAGCTAAGTCATCTCTCTGATCCATTTTTTACATCTTCTCAGTAGACAGAATTAAAAGACACATGCATAAACTTAACAGACATACACAACACATTCCTTTCTACATTATTATTGAAAATAGCCAGGTGTGGTGGTGCATGCCTTTAATCCCAGCACTTGAGAGACAGAGTCAGGCAACCTGGACTACATGAGACCCTGTTTCAAAAAAGCAAAATCAAACAAACAAAAAACCAAACAAAAGAAACAATAATTCAGCATTTCATCTCAAATTCCAATCCCAAACTACAGAATTTGTTACACTGTACTTTAACAATAGCAAGTCTTATTCCTATTACCTCCTCTCTTTCCTTTCCCTCCATCTTAGTCTCATTCTGCAGGGCAGGCTTACCTAGAATTCATGACAATCCTCTTATTTCAGTCTCCCAAGTGCTGTGATTATAGGCATGAATCATCATACCAAGCCTTTAATGTTTATTTGATAATCTGCTTTTGTGTATAGCCAGGGTAGCATTTCTGCTACCATTCTCTGCCAATGCCCCATCCCAAACACAGTGAGAATAACTTCTTTTCTGTTTCTGACCACCTCAGGCAAACCAGGTCTCTTCTTTGCAGTGAGGAATGCCTCATTAGGGGAAATCCATCATTTTTATTAGGCTCTATCACTATGCTTGGTTAACCCAAAATATGGATTTCCTCTATAGATACTAACTCTATACTTCCCTACTCTCCTTGATCCCTGCTAACTCTCAGCTATCTCTAGGAATGAATGCTTTAGTAACTCTACCAGACCTTTTAATCTCCACACTGGACCTTCCTCTTGTATACATACTCTTTATCCATTTCTGATTTCACACTATGCTACAGGAGCTCACTTCTACATTCGAGCCTGATATCCACCTAGGTTAGCATGGTTAGTTCACTGGCTAGCGGGTATCTATATTCTATTTCACATAGTAGCTTTAAAACTACTATAGGGAGTCAGGCAATAGTGAGGCACACCTTTAATCCCAGCACACCAGAGACAGAAGCAGGAGGATCTCTTTGAGTTCTAGTCCAGCCTGGTCTACATAGTGAGATCCAAGATTTTAAAAAAGCAAATTCTTTTTTTAATTCAGTGTATCCCTATGTAGTCCAACCTGATTTGGACATCACTATGTAGGCCAAATAAAGATCCTCCTAAGCCTTCCACCCAAATGCTGGTATTACCATATGTGCCATCAGGACTTTATCTTTTTTTTCTTTTTCTTTTTTTTTTTTTTTTTTTTTTTGAGAAAGAATCTCATGTAGCCCAGGCTGGGCTCTAAATCATCATGTAGCTGAGTATGACCTTAAACTCCTGATTCCCCTGAGTGATGAGATTATAAGCATATGCTACCATGCTTGGTTTCTGGGTTACTGGTATCAAACACAAGGCTTCATGAATTCTATGTTCTACCAACAAAACTATCCTCTACCTCTCACATTCTTGTAAGCTACTATGTAAATTTCATTTAAACAAAATAATCATTTATCTGATTATTATTTTTTAAAAAACAGGCTCTCACTATATAGCCCTGGTTGGCCTGGAAGTTAACTCTCACTATGTAGGCCAAACTGGTCTCAAACTCACAAATTCTGCCTGCCTCTACTCCCCAGTGCTTGGAATTAATTAATAAAGGCATGATGGTATATGCATGGCCATTTTTTTTTAATTTCAGAGGTCTTATTGCTTATTATTGTGTGTGCATTTTTTCCCAACTGCAACCTACACTGCATACCTACATTACTATGGTTCCACTTGAATAAAGTCTGGCTTGCTGTCTTTTGCAGGTCTTACTAAATTTCCCAGGTTACTCTGAGTCCACTCTCTTGTCAGGCAGACTTTGAATCTGCAGTCTTCCTGCCTTAGCCTCTATCCTAACAGGAGTCAAGGCCTACCCAACCAAGGACAGCTTGGACATCTAATTTCTAAACTTAAAAGTAACTAACTTGCAGAGTGGTAATGGTGTACGTCTTTAATCCCATCATTCAGGATGCAAAGGCAGGCAGATCTCTGTGAGTTCAAGGGCAGCCTAGTCTATAAAGAGAGTTCCAAGACAGCCAGTGCTGTTACACAGAGAAATCTTGTCTCAAAAAACAAACAAGCAAACAAAAAAAAAAAGTAACTAATATATAGTGAATAATTCATGGATAATTAAGAAACCTACGGATAGTAAATATGGTATACATTCTAAGTGTTAAACAAACATTAATTAATGTCAAACACAGATATTTAAGACCATAGTGAAAAATTATTTTGGAACTAATTTAACAGCAAATATATTTAATCTCATATATGCTAGGTTAACTAAATTATCAGATAATCAAAGCAAAAGCTTTATATGATTTATTTCTCCCTTTAAATCTGAGGCTGAAGAGATGGTTCAATGGCTAAGAGAACTGGCTGCTCTTCCGGAAGACCTGAGTTCAATTCCCAGCACCCACACAGAGGTTTGGAACCATCGGAAACTATAGTTAAATCACTCAACAGAATGGTTTTAGACCAAAGCCTTGTAATTCACATCAGCTTAGCAGAGAGCATCTTTTCCTTTGCCTTTGAAGAGAAACTCAGAAAGTCTCTTTTAGCTTAATGTTTGATAACAGACTTTTGGACGGTCTTTAGCAATTCTTCCATTGTATATTTTTTTTCTCAGTTTCCAACATGTGGGATTCTGAATAAACACGAAATTTTGTTCCTTTAGGGGAAAAAGCGCATCCAAGCTAATTGCTGTAGTGCTGGGAATCCCATAGCCAGCATTAGTATGCCAATATCAGGACAGAGGCCAGAGTTGTTACTGGTACCTTCATTACACTCTCCCTGCACATGCATGGAACTCAGACATACATTCAGACAAAAGTATTCATACACATATAACCAATTAATTTTTCAAATAATTGAGATCTAAGACCAAAATCCAATTTAATATGGTGATTGAAATAAAATATTGGATCAAAACTTAATTCAGCTAGGTGTGGTGGCTTACACTTTTAATCTTAGTACTCAGGAGGCAGAAGCAGTTGGATCTCTTTGAGTTTGAGGCCAGTCTGATCTATATAGCAAGTTAGAAGCTAGCCAAGGTTATAGAGTGAGATCCTATTTCAAAAAAACAAAAGCAAAAAAACTTAATCCCTAGTAATAAAAAATGATGCTTACCTAATTCAATACATGTTATTCCAAGAGACCATACATCAACTTTGCCATCGTACTGTCCTTCATCCATGGCTAAAATTACTTCTGGGGCCATCCTAAAACATACAATATTCAATCAACTTAAAAGTTTGAGAACATAAGTTCCATCAACATAAATAACATTGAACTCCAGCCAATATACGTAAACAAAATTTTTTACAATGGGAAGCAAATTAGAAGTTGTGACGTAAGGAAAATAAAAAGTTGTGACATACGTAGTTAGCAATGCTCAGAAAACATAATACTTATTCCCACCATCTGCCATGACCATTTAACAACATTCCAAAAGGAAAATACCAAAGCAGGGTTATATCAGAATCTCATTATAAAATTTTAATCCTTGTTTGAAATATTGAAGTTTACCATGGGCAACAAACACTGTCAGCTGTTTTACCTGAGATGAAAAGGCAGGCACATGGCCTAGCCATAAAATTGTATCCTGACCCTTTAATGTTTCTTTTAGAAACTGGACAGTCACAAACGTCTCTAAAGTATGCTTTTGAGACTTTACATCCCAGAGCCATGTACAGTTGAAACAAGTCTTTTATAAAATAAGAAGGGAGATTTCAAACATAGATTTAAAAAAAAAAAAAAAAGATTGAGTGAACCAAAGGTACTATTTTTAGAATCTACAAAGGTAATACATGGAAGTTTAAATAGCTGAAAAATTATTTCCTTCAAATTTTCACTGACAGATACATATAAAATTATTCATAAACCAGAACAGATATTACCTAGAATTTCATTTAAAAAAAAAATACCTGGGGTAGAAAATAGGGAGGGCAAAATTAACTATGGGATAAGGTTATAGGGCTGGGTAACTGGGATGAAAAATCTCACCCATACTTCTATTTTTATGTACATCTGAAATTCCTCAAGCAGAAAATTCCAAACAGCAAAATCCCTCCAATTGAGCTACCAGTCTAAGCAGCAATATAAAGTAAATTTGCTCACATAAAACAGAAGCAGGAGGATCAGGGATGCACATAACCCTCAACTAAATATAGGGAGTTTGAAGCTAGCCAGAGCAACAGGAGACACAGTCTCAAAAAAGAAGTGGTGCTGCTGCAGCAGTTATAAGCATCGCTGCTCTTCTGGAGGACCTCAGTTTGGTTCCCAGCATCCATATCAGGAGGCTCATCTGTAGAGTCACCTGTAACTTCAGTCCTAAGGGTTCTGATTCTGGTACATGGGTACCCCATACATGTGGCACACATATTCCAAGACACAAATTTCACAAATTTATTTTAAAAAGTAAATTTTAAGAAAACTTGTTACTGTTTAGTGTGTCTATTTCCTCTATTTGAATGCTAACAACATTTTACTCTCATACCTAATACACAATACAGTGAATAAGAGGAAAACAAAGTGGCAAGGATTAAAAGGACAGATGAAAAGGGAAAAGAAAAAAAAAAGCATCGTAAGGACAAACCTGCAAATCTATATTTTAAGTATGAAACATAAAGTAAAAAATATCAAAAATGATAGTATATTTTCAGGAAAATGACATCTTAGAATAACATCTGGGGGCTGGAGAGATGACTCAGAGGTTAAGAGCACTGGCTGTTCTACCAGAGGTCCTGAGTTCAATTTACAGCAACCACATGATGGCTCACAACTATCTACAATGAGATCTGGTTCCCTCTTCTGGCCTGCAGGCATACATGCAGGCAGAACACTGTCTACATAATAAATAAGTAAATCTTAAAAAAAAAAGAAAGAAAGAAAGTATAATAACATACTGCTTACTTTAATTATGAGCATCAATACCAGATAAAACCATTCTTACCAATATGGTGTTCCCACAAAAGAATTGGCAGGGGAAGCCATGGAAGCAGATCCAAAGTCAGCAAGTTTCACCTGGCCTGGCTCTGTCAGAAGGATATTTCCTGCTTTGATATCTCTGGTTTAAGGGACACAGAAAATTAGTTAACTTCCCTTCATTAGATTGTGTTTAAAAATAATAAAAACCAAAATGTTGTCAGACAGTAGAAAGGAAATATAAAATAATCAAGTACTGCAATAATTTCATAGTGATAATAAAATCAGACAACAAAAACAGAATTCAAGTAAAAATAGAGTAACAATTAAGAGAATACTTAACAAAACAAAAAAGTCAGGCAACTGTATCACACTATGTGTGTTTGAGCTTGTTTATTAGTATGACAATGGCTTTGAAAAATATAATAATCATTTCATGATTTCATAATATTTCCAGGTATCCCTTTTAACATTTTTGTTTTCTTTTCTTTTTTTCCTGGTTTTTTGAGACAAGGTCTCTCTGTACAGCCCTAGCTGTCCTGGAACTCACTCTGGAGATCAGGCTGGCCTTGAACTCACAGAGATCCACCTGCCTCTGCCTCCCACGAGCTGGGATTAAAGGCTTGAGCCACCACCACCTAGCATTAACATTTTAAGAGTACAGAACCTTATCTTCCAAACTTGTTAATAACAAAGAATGAACCATTCTCAAGCTTCCACATAGTTCTGGATTAAAATGAAATGAAAACTGAAACACATGGATAATACACTATCAATGCCCCCCCACTATCCAAACTAAACTATATGGATATTTACACAACAGGAATATATGTTCCATAGATGCTACAATAAATACTTAATTTTTTAAACTTAAAAGACAAAAAACAAGTTTACATGACTTACTAATTCTTGTTATAGTAAATGTAGTACTGAGTATAATACACTTTTACGTGTGTTTTTTTTCTTTCTAAGTGCTTTTGTGTATGTGGCGCTGGGAATTAAATCCTTATGCACAGTGAGGCACTGTGGAGATGAGAAATCATATTCCAATTCTGCCACTCACTCACTTGCTACCATAGAGATTTCTCTTGGACTGCACTTACCCTCATCTAAAAATAATGACAATCCATTAACTCCAAATGACTGTACTGCATAGTTCAATATTTACTGTCTGGATCACATAATTTTTGAAATGCTAATATCTATCTGAAAGTCAAAACTAATAGCAGTGTTAAAAATTACATCAAAATGGTTTTTGTCCATGTCACAGAATCAATGGAACAAATCTGTCATTATCAGTTATCAGGAAGACAAAAGAGCCATTAAATTCAAGCTCTAATCTATTTGGCTTTGCAATCTTAGGGAAATTATAGTCACAAATTAGAGCATCGATTTACACAGAAAGACAGACTCTATGATCCCTAATGCCCCTTCCAGTTTGCAAATTAGGTAATTCTACAATTAAGTTCCATAAAATACATATGCTTTAGGAAACATAGCGGCACACATAGGCAAAAATAAAAATTATCCTAACAGACATGTATACTATCCTATTTAGACATGAACAGTCTAAATAGTGTTGAGTTTATATAATTCTTTTTGGCTCAAGTAAACAAAAATTTCATAAACATTGAACTGTAGGGATGATAAATTCAACAAACCATTTGCTTGTCAATATATGATAATTTTTGAGTCACTTACCTATGGATCATGGTATGAGAATGTAAATAAGCTAATCCCTGGAGAGCACCATGTGTAATTGCTGCTATTTCCACTTCTTGTAATGGCTTTTTATGAACTGAGAAAAAAAATTTATTTGAAAGTAATCACATAGAATATTCTTGTTTAAAAAATATATAGGGATAACGAGACAGGATATTGGGTAAATGTGGAAGCCTGAGAATCTGAGTTCAATGTGCTAAACATATATAGTGAAAGGAGAGAACTAACTCCTTCAAGTCATCCTCTGGCTTCCACACATGCACTGTGGTGAACATGCACAAAAATGCAAACAGATACACATATAAAACAAAGAAAAATTTTTTAAAAAAAACTATTTTTAAATAAATACTAAAAATTGACACATTAAGCCGGGCAGTGGTGGCGAACGCCTTTAATCCCAGCACTCAGGGAGGCAGAGGCAGGTGGATCTCTGTGAGTTCAAGGCCAGCCTGGTCTACAGAGGGATCCAGGAAAGGTACAAAACTACACAGAGAAACCCTGTCTCAAAAAACCAAAAAGAAGCCGGGCAGTGGTGGCGCACGCCTTTAATCCCAGCACTCAGGAGGCAGAGGCAGGCGGATCTCTGTGAGTGTGAGGCCAGCCTGGGTTCCAAGTGAGTTCCAGGAAAGGCGCAAAGCTACACAGAGAAACCCTGTCTCGAAAAATACCAAAAAAAAAAACCAAAAAGAAAAGAAAAAAAGACACATTGGGTTTTTTGTTTTGTTTTGTTTTGTTCCCCTCCACACACACACACAGGGTTTCTCTGCACAGCCATGGCTATCCCAGAACTTGCTCTGTAGACCAGACTAACTTCAAATTCAGAGATGCCCCTGCCTTTGCCTCCCAAGTGTTGGGATTAAAGGCATGCACCACTACTGCCCAGTTGACACATTGGTATTTTTAGTAACTATGTATATAGTATGGTGTGTGCACCATAGTCTATGTGTGGAAGTCAAAGGAAAACACTGATCCTCACCTCCTACCTTATTTGAGGCAGTCTCTTTGGTATTTGCTGTTCCGAACATGCCAGGCTATCTAGGTCACAAGCCTCCAAGGATTCTCTTGTCTCTACCTACAGCTCCTTGTGAAGCACTGAAATTACTGCAGCACACAACCATGTCTAACTTTACTTGTGTTCTGAGGATTTGAACTCCTGTCTTAATACCTGTGTAGCAATAGCTTTACTCGCTGAGTTATCTCAAGGGTAATTTTTAAAAAACAGGTATTTAGCAAGGAACAATTTCCATGGGGATAAAATAAAGCCAAATAAACGTCCTAACTAGTATACACTTACGACAAGTGTTAACAATAGTCAGTCAACTGTTCCTCTAAGCTTAACAAGACCAAACAAAACTTGATGACTGTGAAACAAAAAAGATACTTGCCCTTTTTTTTACTTTTTATTAACAGGACAGATCAAATTGACAGAGAATTTTTTTTTCAATGCATATAAAGTTTCAATGAGAAAATTTGCCTACTTTGTAAGAATAGCAAATTTCATGTGAAGAAAATGTCAAAGGCAAGGAATTTTCTAATTTCTGCAAAATTTTATTTTTATTTAGTATTAATATTGTTTAAATAAACTCTAACTGAATTCATTTGGTTTGGTTTTTTGAGAGGGGTTTCTCTGTGTAGCTCTGCCTGTTCTGAAACTCACTATGTAGACCAGGCTGGCCTCAAACTCAGAGGTACACCTGCCTCTGCCTCCCCAATTCTGGGATTAAAGGATTGAGGCAACCAGCAACCACCTCCTGGCCTAAACTGTTATTTTATTCTAATATTGTAATAAACAATCAAGGTCAGGAATGGTGGTACATGCTTTTAATTAAATCAGTCAAGATGCAGAAGCAGGTGGATCTCTGTGAGTTCAAGGCCAGCCTGGTCTACATAGTGAGTTCCAGGACCTCCAAGGACTACATAGAGAGACCCTGCCTCAATATATAAATATATAAATAAATAAATAAATAAATAAATAAATATATATATATATATATATATATATATATATATATATATAAAATATTCATCCATTTATTTATGGTTTTTCAAGACAGGGTTTCTCTGTATAGCCCAGGCTGTTCTGGAATTCACTCTGTAAACCAGACTGGCCTCAAAATCAGAGATGCCCTGCTTCTGCCTCCTGAATGTTAGGATTAAAGATTATGTGCCAAAATTAAACAACCAAAAATCAATAATCAAAGTTAACTTACCTTCTAGTAAATCTGAGGCAGATCCCAAACAATATTCCATTACAAGCTGCATGGGGAGAAAAAAATATAAATGCATTAAAATTTCTTATAAAGACAGTTTATCTGAGATAAATACGAAGTCAAGAAGATAGTCCAAAGTAAAACAAACTCAAGCTATCATCTACATTTACAATATAGTTATATATTTAGCAATTTGTTAAACTAAGCGAATGGTTCAGGCATGGTGACACATGCCAGTGATCCCAGCACTTGGGATGCTAAGCCAGAAAATATGAGGCCAGCATGAACTACACAGTTAGTTCCAGGGTGGCCTAGGCTACATAGTAAGACTGTGTCTTAAAACTATCAAAAAAAAATTAAGCCAATGTTAATACTTGTCTTCTAATAATGTTAACATGCAACCAATTATATAAAGCTGTGTATTGCATATATACTTTCCTATATAAAGGCATTTATAATTATATTAATCCAATTCTTTTAACAAAATGTCACAATTCTCTATGTTGTGTTATTGGGCTAAGGAATCATGTCATCTCAAATTTCACCAGAATGTACCAAAACTTCACAAGGATCTTTGTACTTAAATATACTAACACACATTTACGTCAAAAAGATATGTTCAGTTCCACTCTCAAATAATGGTACTGCTCTTGAAATGCTGAGTTGTTATTCCTGAAGTTATGGGAGAAGTCATGTAAAGTTCTTTTATCTGTTAAGAGTTGCAAGAATATATTCTTCCTCTCCCAGGATGAACTAACATTTCAGGTGTATGAGCATTTCTTCATATAACCAGTCTGAGATATTTTGAGTTAAGTTATGCTAAACCAAAAGCAATTAATTTATAACAAGAAGAGAACAAATACCAACCCAAGCGGTGTGTTCCCGTAAATAGCAGCCTTTATATTCTATACTGTTGGGATGTTTTATTCTTTGTAGAAACTTGACTTCCTTAATAATATCCTGCCATTTCTAGATAGAGGGAGGAAAATAAGGAACAGGAGGAAGAATTATGAACACCTGGTTTTCATTTGAAAGATACATAAGAAAAAAATAATTACTATATTTAAAAAGGTTAGAAGAATATAAAACTTTGATTTATACAAGAAATGCCAAAATGAAGTTTAAAAGAAATATATAAGGTACAAAATAATTAAGGACAAATTTCAGTTTAATAATATTCATAATCAATGAGTCCTATTAAGTTTATAATCAAAAGTTAGCAAGATGGCTCTGAAGTTAAAAGCACTTGTTGCTCTTCTAGAAAACGTGAGTTCAATTCTTAGCACCTATACGGCAGTTTAGAATTGTATGTAAATCCATTTTCAGCGGTCCATCCTTTCTGGTCTCTAGAAGCACCAGGCACACACAAAGTATACAAATATACATACAGGCAAACACGAATGCACATGAAATAAATCTTAAATCATAACAATTAAGTACTCTGACTATGCTATAACACATGTAGGTTTTTTTTCCTTCAGAAGTCCAACCTTTTTATTTTTTTAAAATAAGATTATTTTTAAATTATTGATTAAAATTAATTTTATTAATTTCTTGAGCATTTCGTAAAATATATTTTGATCATATTCATCTTCCCACCTTGGACATTTCCCACATTCACCCCACCTCCTTACCCACCCTATTTTGTGTTCCCTCTTTCTTGCTTTAAAACCCATCCAGGTGGGCAGTGGTGGTACATGCCTTTTAATCCCAAATCTTGGAAGGCAGTGGCAGGTGAATGTTTGAAATGGAGGCCAGCCTGGTCTACAAAGTGAGTTCTAGGACAGTTAGGGCTACACAGAGAAACCCTGTCTTGAAAAAATAAATAAATAAATAAATAAAATAAAACACAAAAACTCTTTCAGTTCAACTTGTCCTGCCCAAATACTTTTGGGTGTTAGAGAGGGCTGGCCTACCAGGGGTCACACCCTTCAGAAAACTGACTCTCCTTCCTCCAGCAGCAATCAATTGTCACTACCCTCTTCTGGCCTCCCTGGGCACCACGCACATACGTGGGGCACAGAAATACATGCAGGCAAAATACCCATATACATAAAAGAAAATGCTAATGGAATAACTATGTATAAAAAAGGAAAATGGAAAAAAGGGAGTATAATATCCATTTTCCTACATATTCTGCTAAGATCCTTCCCAAGTATCATGAAATACAGTTAACACTTAGGGCACATCCTTAACGTAACTCTTTTTTTTATGTGTCAGAGAGTGTGTATGTACATATGCCCGTATGTGTATGCAGACTTATCAATATCATGGTGCATGTGTAGAGGTCAGTAGACAACAATAGGGTGTTTTGGGAAACAGGGCCTTTTCTTTCTTCTTATTGTATATGCCAGGCTAGCCATGCAGCCAGATTCTGGAGATTCTGTCTCCACTTCCGATCTCATGACAAAACACTGGAATTACAGGCAGGTACCTAGCTTTTATGTGGGCCCAGGGGAGTCAAATTCAGGTCCTCACACTCAGGTGGCAAGTACTTTACACATTGAGACATCTCCCCAGTCCCTAAACATAATTACGTGTGTGTGTGTGTGTGTGTGTGTGTGTGTGTGTGTGTGTGTGTGTGTGTGTGTGTTTTGCTGGGAATTGAAAACAGGGCCACATACATGCTGGGTAAATGCTCTATTACTGAGCTAAATTTCCAAACCTACATACTTACTCTTAAGAAACAAATCAGTGAAATCAAAGGTCATTAGGTTGAGTCAAAAATTCAACAAGTTTAATAAATACTGTATAGAGACCAATCTGTTTTGGGTTCTTGTTTTAGGTTTTCATAAGCTTTACCACTCACTAATGGGCTACAAAATTAAGAGATGAGAAAGTAAATAGAGAAATTAAGAAGTATTTTACACTAAATTTAAGAACATCCATCTCTGATATTATTTTACAAGCTCTTAATCAAACATAGCAAAATATATTCAGTCTTTTATATAAATGTGTATCATAGCCAGGCAGTGGTGGTATACTCCTTTAATCCCAGCACTTGGCAGGCAGAAAGAAGCAGGAGGATCTCAGTAAGTTTGAGGCCAGCCTTATCTACAAAGTCTACAAAGCAAGTTCCAGGACAGCCAGGCCTATTACACAAAGAAACTCTGTCTCGAAATCAAACAAACAAACAAACAAACAAACAAACAAACAAAAAGTGTATCATACATTTAAATAGTAAGATTCAGAAAAACTTATGAGCTTTAAACTTCAAATTTGAATAATCCACGAGATAAAGTCTTAAGAAAATTTAGATATCCCTATGTAAGCAAAACTTCGAAGGACAATACTAGATCCTAAAAATAATGCAATAATGAAATACTGGTTCAGTAGATCAATAGACTTTAACAATTTAACAATCTGTTAGCCCTAAAATTGTTTTAACAAAATAGTAAATAAAATTATACTTCTAAGTAAGGTCAGTTTTTAGATATCAAAATGACAGAAAGATACAATTATAACAGTATTACCATACCCTCAGTGTAATAATCACCAAACCAAGATTTACCACAAAACAGATTCAAAACAAATAGGACCCAAGCCTTTGAAACAAATCCACCAAGTCTACTTCTTAGACATATAACCAAAAGAAAGTAAAGCAAGGATCTAAAGAAATGTTTGTGAGCTCATATTCATAGCAGCATTATTGACAATAGACAAAAGACTGGAGGAAACCAGGTCCATTTGTAGGTTTGAATATAAATGTATGAGTGCATGTAGAAAAAGATATAACACATATAAACACAATGGAGTATTTCTCAGTTTCTTGCAACAGAAGAAAATTTACATGTTATACTATGTATCAACATTGAGAATACTGTGTGATACAAAATACACTAGTAACAAAAGCACAAACACTAAATGGCTACTTCAGGAATATTCAATCTGTAGTTCTAAGGATTCAGGGGGCAACGTGTAGCTGAAGATGGCTAGGAATGCAGTCTAATACAAAACAGAAAACTTGATTTTTGCAATTTTTGGTTTTTTGTTTGTTTGTTTGTTTGTTTGTTTTTTCGAGACAGGGTTTCTCTGTATAGCTTTGCGCCTTTCCTGGAACTTGCTTTGGAGACCAGGCTGGCCTCGAACTCACAGAGATCCACCTGCCTCTGCCTCCCGAGTGCTGGGATTAAAGGTGTGCGCCACCATGTCCCAGCTGATTTTTGCAATTTTTTAAAAACTCAGTTGCGGGCTGGAGAGGTGGCTCAGAGGTTAAGAGCACTGCTTGCTCTTTCAAAGGTCCTGAGTTCAATTCCCAGCAACCACATGGTGGCTCACAACCATCTATGAGATCTGGTGCCCTCTTCTGGCCTGCAGAGATTTGTGCAGACAGAACACTGTATACATAATAAATAAATCTTAAAAAAAAAAAAAAAAAACTCAGTTGCACAGCTCTCCAGCATGAACTCTGTACATGACAACATTATGCCACAGTGTCAAAGGTTAAATATGCTTGAAAGTGCCCCCAGTAGTTAACATCATGAGAAACAGTAGAATTGTAGATGCTAGAGGGTAGGTGTTTAAAAAAAGAATTACTGTTTTGGTGGTATTGGGGTGGTCATGTGAATAGATATCAACTACTTTACCACTAAACCAAATCTTATTCCATATTATGAGTACACTTCCCCTGTCCCAAAATGAAAAGTAGAATTCTAGAGAGGGGTGTTGGTAATGGTTATATGACATGCATGCACTTTACACTACTGTGCCATCTATTTGAAGATGGTATAAGATAGAAAATTTTGTTATAACTACTTTATCACAACTAAATAACTGTTAGTTTTTAAAATTAAAGACCTTCAGAATCCTAGATTGTGTGTGTGTTTTGTTTTTGTTTTTCTAGACAGGGTTTCTCTGTGTTGCCCTAGCTGTCCTGGAACTCACTCTGTAGACCAGGCTGGCTTCAAACTCAGAGATACACCTGCCCCTGCCTCCCAAGTGCTGGGATTAAAAGCGAGTGGTACCATGCCAGGCTCAGAATCCTAGATTTTATTATATAAATTTATATAATTACACAGACCAAACAAAATCTAGAAATAAGAATACTGGCAAACTAAAGTATCTAGTTCTCTTTTTGCTTTTTCAAATTATTACATATTATCTTTGGATAAAATTTAAAATAGCCATGAAACATTTTCTAAATCATTTTTAAATAAAGGTTATGTCCTATTAATTTACTGCCATGTACATCTTAATTTACTTAAGTATTTAGAAATCAGGATAAACATAGAATAATTATTAAACCACAGCTTAAAAAACTAAAACCATAAGATACAAGTTAGGAGGCTTCTGGTATGCCACTAATGTTTTGTTTATGGCTCTAAGTAATAGCTAAATGGGCCTCACCCACTTGTAAAGAAAGATTCGTTGATGTGACTGCGGGCAGAAGTCAGGAAATTTAAGAAGCCAACTAGAGGCGAACAAAGCACTTGACAGAAGCAGTGGGGAACCTTTCCTAGGGCAGAAAGGTACAGACTGGAAGGGCAGAAACCAAGCAGGAACAGGAAGGGGAGGGGAGGAGGGAACCAACTACAATTAAGTATGTATGAAAATAGTATAAATAGTATAAAGAAATCTGGGATTTAGTATGGCAATCAAAAAGGTAAAGAAAATAAATGAATGAACGGGGGAGCAAAGAAAAATGTACTGGTACATTTAGGAATGTATGCTTTTACATATAATGTATCTATTTTAAATTTCCTTCCTTCTCTCCCTTATTAAAAGTAGTTTGTTTTCCTAACACGCCAAAAATATGTATATAATTAACTTACCTCAGTAGACTGCTTTCCACTATAAGACATTTTCTTGATGGCCACCACTTCATTAGTACGCACATCTCGAGCCTTAAAAAGAAACAAAGAAAGAACCGTTGTGAAATAGAAACCAATAGATTAAATCTGAGATGTTATTTCTTTGAGAATGAAGGTGCTTATAAACTAGAATTCAAAAAAAAAACATGAAAATTACCTTTAGTGGCAGAAAAAATAGGGAAGATGTGAGTCAAAAGAAATCAAACAGGAATCTGAAGAACTAGTAACAATTCAGAACTAAAGTTAGTAAAGTTGTATTAGGGATTTTAGTTAAGTAAGTAGCTTTTAGCTGCTCTTGTCACATACAAAAGTCACTATGTAAGGTAATAGATAAATCATCAACTTCACACTATAGTCACCATTTTACAATCCATATTGTAAAACTCAAATATATAACCAATTTTTTAAAAAAACCTAAAATGCAATAAAGCTCCTTTTAAAGAACACTTGTAAAAACCATTACTGTATTTATGTGTGTGCATATGCATGTATATATTTGTGAATGTGTATGAGCTTTGTGTGTCTAAAGATGAGAGGACTTTAGAGAATCAGTTCTCTTTCTACTATGTCAGTCCAGAGATCCGCCTGCCTCTGCCTCCCGAGTGCTGGGATTAAAGGCGTGCACCACCACCACCACCACCACCACCACCACCACCACCACCACCACCCGGCAAGAAAATATTTTTTAACCTCTATTTTATATAACATGAAAAGAACTATCAGGATACTGGGAAAACACTTCATAATTCCTATTTTATTCTAGTTGTTTTGAGACCAGGTCTCTCTATGTAGCCCTGGCTGTCCTGGAGCTTGCTATGTAGACCTAGCTGGCCTCAAACTCAAGAGATCCACCTGTCTCTGACTCCTGAGTGCTTGGATCAAAGGTGTGCACTACCTTATATAAACTTACATGCTGAAAGTTTAGGAAGGGCTATTTCCAAATCTTCTCAACAGTAAAGAAAGCCAACACTTATAAAATCAAAATTAGAAAAGTTAGGTGTTCAACATGACAAATCATATCTATAAGGTTTGGAGTGTGTTTCTGCTGTTTTTTTATTCTGTTTTTTCCAGTCTCTAAAAATCTATAAGCTAGACAAGACTTGAATTCACTAATATATCCTATGCTGGCCTCATACTTGAAACGTTCCTGCCTCAGTTTCCTGAGTTCTGATGTTGAGGTGTTTATAACCATGGCTGGCTTTACCTTATACCACATTTGCCTATCATTCTATCTCCTTTAGGCAACTTCTCTAAGCAATAATAGACTTACTTCCTATGCCTGGAGATTTGCTTCTTCTGGACATTTCATTTAAAAGGAACCACATGTGGCTTTTTGTGATGATACTTTACAAAATATTTTGCAATTCATGAGTAATGATGTTGAATATTTTTTATAAGCTTTATTTATTATTCATCTGTAATTTTCTTTGGAAAATTTCTAATTCAATTACTTGTAATATTCATGTTCTAAACTATGCATCTTTATTACTGAGTTCTAAGAGTTCTTTATATAGTCTAGACAGAAGGCTATTTAAAATACAAAGCCACAGACCTGAGATTGAGAGTAGAGAGATGGCTCAGTGGTTAAAAACATTTGTTGATCCTCCAGAGGTCTTCAGTTTGATTACAAGTACTCATATTGGGTGTTTCACAACCAGCTGTTAACTCTAGCTTCAGAGAATTCAGGCCCTCTTCTGGCCTCTGAAAATACCCTCACACTTGTGGCATACACACATAAAAATTCAAAAATACTAAAAAAAAAAAATTCTCATTATGCAGCCCTGGCTGGCCTGGAACTCTCTAAGTAGATCAGACTGGCCCAAATTCACAGAGATACACCTGTTTCTGACTCCTAAGTGCTGAGATTAAAAGTGTCTGCCCCCATATACAGCTTTAAAACAACAAAAATAACCAATACAGATAGAGAATGGTTTGAAGCCATCCTGATCCTTACAGTGAGAGCCAGGAAAGCTAGGGCTACAAAGAAAGACCCTGTCTAAACAACAAAACATGTTCAGTGTCAATGGTTATTAGAATAACAGACATTATCACAAAGGTAGGGAAATTAAAAGTCTTTACTGTTGGTGGGAATGGAAACAGTAGCTGCTGGACTTGCAGTTAGAATATTCCTCAAAAATTTAAAGATAGACTTGTCATAGATATCTGCAATTATACTCTTAAAGTATGTACATACATACTCAAAACTGAAAAGTGGACTTGTGCTCTAAACCCAATATCCCAAAGTTTGGCCATTTCTATCAACTGGTTAGGTATTTTGAACTAAAATGTAGGCTCTGAACCTTGATCTTTCTGACCTATGGTAATTCTGTCTTCCTCTCTTTCTCACCTGGCTTTCTCTAAAAGTCTGCAATTATAATGCCATTCTCAGTAGCATATTCCATCTGGCTAGGACATGAACCATTTCTTTCTTTCTTTTTTTTTTTTTTAAATTTCGAGACAGGGTTTCTCTATGTAGTTTTGGTGCCTGTCCTGGATCTCGCTCTGTAGACCAGGCTGGCCTCGAACTCACGAAGATCCTCCTGGCTCTGGCTCCTGAGTGCTGGGATTAAAGGCGTGCGCCGCCGCCATCCTGCGTGAACCATTTCTTTTGTCCAGCACATCTATGATGTAAACTCTAGCCACCCATAAGTGACTTAGAGCATCCTGATGATTTGTCATGGTTATCTAAGTCCTTGTGTTCAAACAATCATAAATTTACACAGTAACAGTACCAAACTATGAGAGTAATGAGAAAACAGCAATCTTGACATGACAAAGAGAAGACTGTTTCCTTCAAAGAAAAAAGTATGAAAATAAGCCAGGCACTTAGACAGAAGCAGGAAGATCTCTGTAAGTTCAAGGTCATCCTGATCTATATTGAAATTTCCAGGGTAGCCAGGGCTTCACAGAGAAATACTGTCTTACAAAAAAGTGACAAAGGGGGCTGGGGAGATGGTTCACTGGTTATAGCACCTACAACACAAGAAATCACAAGGAACATAGAAAGTAGCAGAGTATGGATTCCTCAGAAAACCAACACCATACTGGGTAGATTTAATGGTCCACCTAATTCCAACTCTGGAAGGAGACAGGATCACTGGAGCAAGCTAGCTAACAAGAATAGTCCTGAGAGTGAGCTCTGGGTAAACCCTGCTTAGACAAATGAGGTAGAAGAGGAATCTAGGATTGATTCCCAACATGCTCATGACCATCCATGTCCCCACACATGTGAAAACATGCAACACACATACACACACAGGAAAAAGAAAAATATGATAATGAAAACTTTAACTTGGGGCCTGGAGAGAGACATCAATGGATAAGAACTCTTACTACTCTTGTAAGACCCAGGTTTGGTTCCCAGCACCCACATCAGAAAGCTGACAACCACCTAGAACTCCACGACCAGAGAATCTGATACCCTCTTCTGGCCAGCATGGGCACCTGCATGTACACGGTACATATGATATGTGTGTGTGCACGCGCGCGTGCGCGGACATGGACACACACACACACACACACACACTTTAAAAAACCAATAAATAAATCTTTTTTTTTTAATTATTTATTATATATACACACACCAGAAGAAGGCACCAGATCTCATCATAGATGGTTGTGACCCACCATGTGGTTCCTGGGAATTGAACTCAGGACCTTTGGAAGAGCAACCAATGCCCTTAACCTCTGAGCCATTTCTCCAGCTCCCTCAATAAAGAAATCTTTAAAAATATTCTCAACTAGATTAAGAAAAAGCTATGTTAGCCAGGCATTGTGGCACATGCCTTTAATCCCAGCACTTGGGAAACAGAGGCAGGAAGATCTCTGTGAGTTTGAAGCCAGCCTAGACGACATAGTGAATTCTAGGACAGCCAGGGCTTTGTAAAGAGACCTTGTCTCAAAAATCACAACAACAAAAAGCTATGTTGATGCTGCTAAAACTCTACAGAAAGTACAAGATTCTATTTATAAAATTATAGAGAAAGGGGGCTGGACAGATGGCTCAGCGGTTAAGAGAACTAGCTGTTCTTCCAGAGGACCTGGGTTTAATTCCCAGCACCCACATGGCAGCTCACGACTGTCTATAACTCCAGTTCCAAGGATCCAACACCCTCACACAGACACACATGCAGGCAAAACATCAATGCACATTTTAAAAAATTATAAAGAAGGAAGTGAAATGTATGCTAGTTTTGGTGCCACACCTCAAAATGCAAAAACTGTGGCCACAAAACATGGAAAGTATTTAGTTAAGACATTGAGTTATAAGGTTCAGTATTATCTTCGGCTTCAAGTATGGGGAGGGGGATTTTAGAATACATACTCTGAGAACAGATGAAAGCTGTATAGGGAAGTTTTAAATTTTTTCTTCAGAAGGTTCAATAATTTTAAAAAATGAACTTATTATAGAGAAAAGGGGGAGGAGACAAAGCATATAAATTATTAATGTGCACACACAGGAGCCATACACAAAGTAAAAAACTCAAAAGAATGGCCATATGGTTGACCAGGAAATAGCACTCTACTCTACAGAATGAGGCTCCGAAAGCTTCTGAGGATGATGACAGCAAGCAGGCTATGGGACGCTAAGAAAACTACAGTGAGGAGACTACAGTGAGGCAAGCAACACTGTTCTAAACTGACAAGTCTTCCAAGGACAGCATCTGAGAGTCATTCCCGTGTCTGCAGAATAACTAACACAAATCTTGCCAGAAGATATATTTAGGGTAGTATATTTTTATTTCCCAATACTTGGTAAAATTTTGGAATTTTGTCCTTGGTTGCAAGCAACCTCCAGAACAACTACACTAGTGAATGATAAAACAGCATTTTTTATTTACAGTGAACCTCTCTCAACCACACCTGAGGTGTTTTGAGGAAAGAACCTAGACTATCACAGGATTAGAGGGAATGATGGTTCTCAGGGAAACCAATCCTGAGCCAGAGAATTGGAACCGGCATTACATACCCAACTCTTACCTTGGGGGAAGGGAGAGAAGCTGAAGGTGAAGTTAATCACCAACAGCCAATAACTTACTAATCAGGTTATATAACAAATAACCACCCAAAGGACTGGGGACTGTGAGGAGAGATGAGAACAAACATCTAATGGCCAAGAAACTGACATACTTAAACTCCACATGGACAAAAGCTCCTGTTCCAAAGAGGATTCTAGGGCTCAGTCTATGTATCTTTTCACTGCATCATTTAAAATACAATCTTAAATGAGTTTCACTTAATAATTACACCCAAAGAAAGGGTTGGAGGATCCCAATTCCATAGTTAATGGAAGCACAAGCTAGAGGTTATTTTTGTTTTGTTTTTGCTTTGGTGCTTTGCCTGCATGTATGTTTATATGTGAGGGTGTCAGTTCTTGGCATTATGGATAGTTGTTAGCTGCCATGTGGGTGCTGGGAATTGAACC